AAACATACGACAATACTGGAGGAAACTAAGAGGTTTAGTCTACATCGCGTTAAAAAAAAATCATCTACCAAAATCCAGACCTTCAGGCTCTATCACCTAGTATTTCTGAATATAGATCATATTCAAGAACGACAAACAATGATCTAGTGTTATGCTTTCTTCTTTTTTTTTTAGTGCTTTGCTTTGGAGAAACTTAAAATTCTCAGAATGACAATTCCCATTTCTGATGGATTTATTTAGTTTGTAGTTTTTTTTAGTACCTTGCTTTGGAGAAACTTAAAATTCTCAGAATGACAATTCCATTTCTGATGATATTTAGTTTGTAGGTTTTTTTAGTATAATTTGTAAACATAAAAGTATATCATCTATTATAGATACGGGTGTACAAAGAAGAACTTAGTAAATGACCATAAATTTTGTATCAGAAAGATGCGCTTTTATCACAGTCTGATTGTATCAGTATAAACAACGAACATAGACAGAGAAATAATAGAGAACAACGATTATATGAACTTATATTTTCACTATGTTCAAAGGGTTTTCCTGGTAATATTTTATGATAAATTATCAACTAATAATATTGTTTGCTATTGCACAATCTCATCGATGTACTTATACGGTTTTTAAATTCAAGAGTCGACACAACATCAGCGGAAACTTATCAGTTTTCAGTAATTTCTAAGTATTAGAATTAAGCTTGAAAATGTTGAAATATGAATAGATACCACTTACATATCTTAATTATTTCACGTTTTGGATTTTATCCAAATTTTAAATCCTTTCATTCCAGCTGTAAATAGCCATATGTCAATTCATTTAAAATRCGAATTTATACACCATTTCATTCATAAACATAACAGTTTTTTGTTTGCTTTTGAGATTAATGTTTCGCTGTAGTTAATTCGTATTGGTGTAAGAGGCTGTCAAAGACTTTGAGTCAACGAGATAGCCCACACGTTAATTAAAGTGCGCATGCGCCCATGTAGAAGGCATCTATTGGCACCTGCTGACTAATTCAAATAACGTCGCTCAATCTTCACAACTCCGCACTATGCCTGTCAGTCGTCAGGAAAGCCGTCAGCAACAATAAATCACTGATCATTTGAGGTTTTGGTGYTGCTTCAATTAAAAGATCAGCTCTTTTATCATTCTGGAGACAATTAATTTGAAGAGGTGGTGAAAAGCCGGGAATAAGACGGCTTKTTAATTCTCTAAGGAAGCGCTGTACTCTTCATTGGTGTTTGACGTGAGATCAGCATTAATGGGTTGATGCAATACTAGAACGAAAGCTAAGRCAAACAGTCATCAGTCAGCTCCAAAGAAAGACAAATACACTAACACTGTTTTATCTGAAATTTATTTTTGCTACTGATTGGTCCCTTGATAGCTGTCAAGACAAGCAACTCAAACGACTCGACTCTTCCTGGAGACTTTCAAGAGTAAATATCATAGACTCGCGAAAGAACCAACCTGTAATCAGTCATGTCGTCCACCAGACTAACAACGACGATTCAGCCAAATTTGACAAATCAGTCGACCTCGTCCCAAAGTCCTTGCACTTCGACTTTCACTTCAGTTCAATACACATTATTTGCATTCATTTTAGTCTTCTCCTTAATGGGAAATGGATTCATCTTCATGGCGTTTATTCTTCGCCGTAAACTGCGAACAGTTACCAACTATTTCGTCATGAATCTGGCGGTAGCAGATTGCCTTCTCATAATTGTATGGATAATCTGGGGCGTCTTGGACATCTTGTGTGTTAAACCTTTTCSTCATCTATATTTGATTCTACAGACAATGGAAATAATTCTAAGCTCTGCCTCGGTGTTTGGGCTTGCCGTCATAAGCTATGATAGATTCTATGCTGTTAACCGTGCCCTCCACTATGGCTCGACGATGACCCATGGGCGTGCAATGTTGGCGATCCTTGGTGTATGGGTCTATTCAACAATAACGTCCTTCATCCGCTGGGGTGTACTTCATGATCGATCCAACGGTTTAATGTTCCTCCAGGTGTACATGGTTTTTCTTTTTGTCGTTAACTTCTTCATACCTTTTGTCATCTCCTTGTATTGCTATGTGAGAATCTTTCTCATTGCAATGCTGCACCTTCGACAAGGAGCTCCTGCCAACCAACTCTCTGACCCTCTTTCCAAAGCCTCAACGGTGCGAAAACAGTTGAAAATATCCTTAAACATCTTCATTCTAGCAGTTCCATTTCTGTTCATGTGGAATGCGTTTCATGGGATCACACTATACGAGATACTATGTCMAACTTGCCAGTCAGTCGTTGCACCTAAATCTGCAGGCGATGTTTTCATTTCTAATCTTCCACAGATCGTGGCTGCCATTAATCCTCTGATCTTCATYTTCCTGACTAAAGATATGCGACTAACTGCAATGRTGTGCTTACGATGCTCCAAGACGAAACCAAGACGACAAGACTGGTTTGCTCAATCTGACACCTATTCTACGAGTATGAAGGCTACTATTAACTATCAAACGACAAATCGGAACGTCGATACTTAGCTTCACCCTCTAATCAAGCCAGAAAATTCATGAAAACGAACTTTCTGGTCAGTCGAAATGAACTTGAGCTTAAATTTTTGTTTTCCTTTCATCCACGCATTTAATATAGACGAACGAACAAACAATAGAAAAAACACTGATAGTTTGTGTRTCCAACCCATCAAACCATGAACTGACAAACTGTTAAATAATCCCAAGAAACTGCCTCTTAAAAGTCTCATTGTAGGCATGCATATGTAATATACTGTAGATCCGAACTATTCAACTAATGTGTGAGAAAAAGAGCDCGATTCCACACTTGAACGACACCAGAAGAATAACCTTAGAAAACGACAACCACAGTTCGAAYCATTACTTCACAATCATGGACAGTAGCAAGTGGATATGGAGCTGGTTCAATGCTACAGTCTTGCATGGTAATATATGGGACGACGGCGTTGTAGGTCTTGTAGTACAATATCAAGACCTGCAGTACATTTTATACGTGTCTACCAGTACAGAAAGTGCGAGGTTCAATTGGTTTAAAAGTACGCAGCGATATCCTATGTTTACGAGAACATTCCTTCCGAATCCCCTCAGAAAGAGGACTTCCAAGAAGACTCAAAAAAGCTCATTTGTGGACATCGTTAACCAAATCATGAGAACTGATCATAAAAACAAGTCGTGTGTGGTATTTACTGCTTAATCCTTCTTTATTTTATGATTTGATCATAATACTTGTTATCGAGATTTAGTTTCAGGTTTAAGAAATATGAATACCTATGGCAATATATCAGGCTTATTGATGAGTGCGGTGTGTCGAGATCTCGTGAGATCGATGATCTGTAGGATATTCACTCAGACAACCAGATCAATATTAATAGCGTTTTAAATCGATATATCGAAGGTTTTAAACCATATCTGAATACGATTTTAATGAGCGGAATTACTAATCCTGATAAATACTATACAATCGGATCATTGAGGTTTCGTGGAAAGTAAATACTTCAAATACCGCTTTAATCCAATATGGAATTTAAGAGAACCAGTTTCTTAGTAAATCAAATTTTGTTGTTTATTCATTTGTATTTTTTTGGTGCCTTGATTATGTTAAGAAAATTGTTGATGGCTTTTTAATTTGTTGCTGTGTCAATATATTTAATTAAGTCTCGTTTTCACCATTTGTATACTCTATTTCTTCATTTCCTTTCCCCTTAAATCATTGTAGCTGAATCCAAACAAATTTATGACATCAAAATAATACATTATTGACATCTTTTTCTGATGCCTTATAATGAATTCAGGCAGTCGAGAGTTAATTCTTAAAGTAGAGCAAATAGCATCGAACTGCCAAGGGAAATTGGGCAGTTCGTAAGTAAAGTCGAGTAGGTAAATTGCTACTTTAGCAGGAGAGAAAATATTCAAGAATTTAATTATATATGAATTGTATTAAATAGGGCTTGCATTTTCTACATTGACTTTAACCTCAGGGGAAATTCAAAATAAAATTGATTAAAATCCTTGACATTCATTGCAGATTATATTGGTAAGATGGTGCGCGAACTTAGATATGATATGCTTTTCGTCTTTGATCAATTATCATCAGCCTCTCTGGTTCCAAGGAGAGCCATATCATACTAGCAAGGCCTGTAAAAAACTATTAAAATAGTCTGCCTGTCCGCAGCTACCCAGTATTTGGTTATGTAACATCACTATTAAAGTTCTAAAGCTATTCGTAAGCTAATTACTCTTTCAAAAGACTTTACTCTCGGGGTACGAGTTAATGCGTTTATCATTAAAAAAACACTTATGCTTTCGTGCAGATATTTTAATGAAAACCCAACATTGACGACCGATATTAACCTTTACAGAYATACTGCTGCCTGTCGGCATAGTGGGTATGATAAGCATAGTAAAATGTCCTAAGTATCCTACCAAGAGATGTCTTTCGGATCCTAGGGACTTGAAATTCGTACCTAAGGCGTTTAAGGAAGGAACAGTTATTAAGGTCATGGGACAGAAAAAGATGCAGGCAATTAGTGAATCCATATAAGGATAAAACCAAATACGAACAAGGAGTCATGTGACTTGATGGACACCTTCTAAAAACATCAGTTAATAGAAAAAGCGCGTTATGAAGCTTTCAAAGTACTGAAGCTTTGTCTGGGGATGGGGGTGGGGGGTTCTTGTACTGGTCATAATCCCCTAAAATGTCAAAAATCGACTCCTGAAGCTTTCACAGTACTGAATCGTCAAAAATGTTAAAATTGACTCCTGAAAGAGGCCCGCGAGTGCTCTGTACTGATGGGTGTGGCAGCGATGAAACTTTATCCGGTAAAGAACCAAAAAACGCATTTCGCTGTAGCCTTTGTAGATCTAAAAAGCGCCAAAAAACTCATCTGAGGTTGTCCCCTACTTGTCCCTGGGACTAGAATACAGAGTTAAAGATGTGAAAAAGTCATTTGAATGAGGCTTATTGCAGCTGGCTAAACTGATAAGATAAGAATGAACAGCATACTAATCTTCGCTYGTACGGCATTTTGATATCGAAATGTCTGCAGACAAGGGTGTCCAGGGAGTCTAACAGCTAGAAAACAGGAAAGAAATATTATAACTGTCACTCATTTTTGACATGATGTAGAAGTCGACTACTTCTGAATAGTATGAATTATATCAAATCTAAAGTTTGCGCAGTTCTTTATTGAATTTCACATGGAATATTTACCAACAAGAACATTGGAGGAGTTGAATAAGCTAATCATTGCTAGTCCAGCAATTAGAATAGGCCTTTTACAGCCACCTGTCTAAAGTGTTCTTGAAAAAACAACCCACTTACACACTCACAAAAACTGCACTAGTCCGTTTACACATCATAAACTAGTCAGAAAGACAGAAATATTTCAAAAATAGAATACAAATGAATTGACAAACGCAAGTTATGGGGTTTCGGTCGAATAGGTAGATAGTTGAATAAAAGTTGCAATTTGTCTGCCGCATCATTGCAAGTTGTCATTTCAGGCTCTCAAAGAAGAGTTATCGGTGTTCAAGTTAACCTTGAATATTGATCGATAATTTYATAAAAAAGAATGAATTATGGCAATGAACGGCACCTTTCAATTATTCCTAATGATTCGGGAGTAATGGTACTTTAATAAAATGTCTAAATGGACTTAAAGTATATATGAGGTATTCCTCATTCRCACCTAACAAGCACGACCACAAAATATGCGTTTTACATAAGTTTTAATAGCTCGCTAAAGTGCCTGAAGTGCTTCCTCTATCTCTAACACTAGAACGTCTTAGAAAGTGTAGGGTTTGCTCATTAGTGTGATCATTAGTTGCAAAAGCCACTTGACTATTGAGATCTTAGTCTGGCTTATATAACTAGCTAAAAAAATAGGAAGAAAAATAAAAAAGTAAATAATAGGATCTTCAGTATTCATGAAAACGACTATCACTCTAAATCTGTTTTTTAACCCTTGCTTGTTGTATTTAAGCTTTGTTCTTAGTCATCCTTCGAAAAAAATACGTTTTGATTTAATTCACCTTTCATTTCAAGACAAACATTTCGGGTTTTTTTTTTGTTATTTAGCTAATTTTGTTTCCCTAGTTGGTTCTGATTTTGTTTTCAGTCTGAATACATATTATGCGCCGATTTAATCATTGTTCAATTTTTTCACGAATTTATTGCTTTAAAAATGAGGTTATCACTTGGCTTTTGCTTGAGATCCAGACAAGTGATGAGTAGTGTGGGCGAAAATAAAATCAAGAAACGCAAGAAAAAAAAACAAAATCGAACGAGCTTTGAAATAATAAAAACGCGTTTTATGAGCAGTAAAAAAAGAAAGGAAAAACATTGAATATAGTATAACATGAGAGATGACAAAAAGAAAAAAAGAATTCCTTGAATCACTTGCAGAAGGGAGTTTGAAACTTGCTGAAGTTTTATCAGGAAAGAAAGACCGACTTCTTTTGGTCAAACAACCGATTCGCAAAATCTGTAATACAATGTAAATCGATTCGACGGAAGGCCGCAAAGTTTTTAGTATATATTGTAAAGACATTTTATTCTATTTGACCTTCTAAAAGTCCATTCATTCAGCTTGATATCGGCTTGTCGGTAAGACAAATTTTGTATATCTTGCTAAATTGAATGTCAAACAGAATCACAACCAAACTTAACAATATTACAACCTCACTTAATCGCTATCAAGACCACTTTATCTTTAATTTCCGACTCGTTCGCCTTACCGAAAGGACAATGTTGGCTCTAAAGCTTTTTTTTTGCCGTATGAACTAGCCTTCAGTAAACATATGAACTTCATCTAGATAGTATTTTCAAAAAGGTGTCCTTACAATATAGAGATGTCCTAAATATAGAGGTGTCCGTAATATGCAAGTGAACGTAATATGGAGGTGTCCGTAATATAGAGGTGTTCGTAATATAGAGGTGTTCGTAATATAGAGGTGTTCGTAATATAGAGGTGTTCGTAATATATAAGTGATCATGATATGGGGTGTT